CTGGGTGAGGAAGGGGATGCTGAAGAGGATGATGATCGAGAATGGTCTTGCTCTCTACCTTTATGTTTGCTGAAAAATAAAGAAAAAAATGTGCTTTTTTTTTAAAAGATAAAGAATTCTTTAGAATCTTATGAGGAATGCTTTTAAGTTTAAAAAAAAAAAACCTATCCCCTTTAAATTATTACACAAGTAAAATGGGGTATAAACTCTGACAGTCTATTTCCAATCTTCTTCAATGATTGTTTCACATAATTAACAAACACACTAGAGCCTACCAGCTAGAAACTGGTAGTTTGCAAACGTCAATGACGCTCAGTTCTTCATTACATTAACTTGTAATCTTTTGTTATTTTAATAAAGGAAAGGAAAGAGTGGGTTTCTGTTGTTTGTTGCAGTGCTGGGGATTGAACCCATGGCCTGACACATGCTAGCTAGGGAAGCACTCTACAACTAAACTATAACCCAGACCGAAAATGCTCTCGAGTCCAAGTTTTAAATGACTGCAGTTTATATACACCCTGAGTAAGAACAGTTTGTACGGTTTGGGCCATAACATCATGATAGAAATAAAAGGCACATGACATTACAAATAACAATCATAAATTTAAAAACACAAGTAAAATCCACCATTTACCTAATGAACATCAAGAAAAACAATTATCTATAATACATTGTATTCCTACATTTGACTCTATGATGATCCAATTTACATGATTCTAATGCAACACCCAAAAAGGTCATACCTGCAGTAACTCTTACCACTGCTACTAGTATCCACGGATTATAATTTTCAAAGACTAATGCACAACCCTATTTCCTAGTTTTTCCTCCCCCCATCTCTCCCATGTTAAACCACTAGATATCACTTTAACAGTCTTGTACTCTGGGTGTTATGAGTTGAAAAAGTGCGGAATCAAGCATAACGAACCAGTTCTTACACAAACTGTTTCTAGAAATGCACTGCATTGAAGTCCAACCTCCTGATGTAGCCTGGATAATAGGACACATTAATTTGTCATTTTTTTTTTCAGTGTTAGCTTGCTATTCCAAAGTTTTTGTCCTCATCCACCATAAGCCGTGTAAAAGACAAATACATTTTTGCTGTAAAACAAATAATTTTAATTGTTTAAATTTAAACATTCGATTACATAGTCAAAATTGAAAGCAATTAAGCTGACAATTATTAAAGGCTAATTAGAAGCTAAACCCTAAGTCAAGACAATTTTAACAATTACCTGTCGTCTTTGTAAGATTTGTATTCCTTGTAATCTTTTGGAGGTTTTTCTTGCTTTCTTGATCCACTAGATTCTCTGGAGCCCTTGGAATCACCCCGTTCTTTACTTCTTTCTTTACGGCGACGGTCAATGTCATGCCGAAGATCAGCTGAATCACACCTTAATTTTTTATCTCCCTGTGGAAAACACATATAAAATACAGAATTCAGGGTGGAAACAGAAATGCAAATATACATGCAGCATGACACGATTCTACTGCATTTTAGTATCAAAAACCAATGCATCATTTACAATCATCATCCTTGGAATTTTTTTAAAAATACCTATTTTTACTGAGCATTTATGTATATACACTAGAATTAAAAGTTACTAAAATCCTTAGATTTGTGGTATTTATTCGAAGCAATCTATAATAATCTTCCAACAACAAAGTGATACATCCTTCTACTCAGAGAATCATGATTAATGCTCATTCTTCCAAATAGCTTTTAGGAAATAGTTGAACAGTGTTAAAAGTTATCATCTATAGTTGCAATGTGGCTTTCAGTCTATGATCTTGAGATCTTGAAGACAGGGGTCTCATTAACCAAGCCTCATTATCATCAAGCTCTTCCCAGATAAGTTGATAAACCCAAGAAAAATACTTCAAAATTAGGGATTCTGTAGTTTTCATGACATGCAAGTGGAATTCAATTAAGAAACTGAGGTTGAACAAAGATCAAACAAAGTCAAACAGATATTATTGGCAATCCTGTACTCAGTGTATCTTGGGCCATATACTGCCCTTTCTCAATTCAGGTATTGCAACAGACATTAGTTTAACTGGGTCACAGTTCACCTCCTCCTTGTTCCATTGCTTTTTCAAATACTATATAATTTAGGAGTTGAAAAGAGGCATCTAGGAATGAAGAGAAATTATACATCAGTAAGATGCTAAGCAATGTGGACATCCTTGACATTATTCAACAATGAGAAGTATTTATTCCGGGAAGTCTAACTGTAATAATCATAAGCATGAACAAACCTGAAATATATATATGTATATATGTATGCATTTCTCAATGTGATAAGTACTATCACCAATTTGTTCCTAGACTAATAAATCTACTTATAAGCAAAGCTTTCTTATTCACCTGGGTATTACTAACTCCACAAGAAACAAGATAACCTAAGGGAAACTACTTTGTAAAGTTTGCTAAGCATCTAATTTCTTATTAACATGTTATTCATTAAATTAAGACAGAAAGATGGAAAAGCCCTAGTATCATGTCCTCCTAGTCACCTACCACTTCTCTTTCAGACCCAACTTTAGTCTGAGTACTAAGAGGAGAAAAATACTGTCAGAGGACAAAGACAGAGTGAACTGTTGGGGAAATTAACACAATTAACACTTACTGAACCTAAAGTATTAAGGTCAAAATGTCTTTAAAAAGTATTAAACTGGTTCATTCTTCAGTCCATTTTTCCAAAGCTGTTATCTCCTGTGCTTATCACCTTATCCCTGAATCTAGAGTTCAAAATCAATTCAGTCAGTATCACACCTACTGAAAAATCTGTATACTGGAAATGTCAGTAAGTTCCTACCAATAGAAGTACAAACAATCCAAGACAGCCCAATTACTCCACAAATCCACAAAACAGACATACTATTTTAATTAGGAAAGTCAAGGTTTAAGACACTATTTTCCAACCAAAAAAAAAAAAAAAGCTGGGTGGTGGTGGCATACACTTTTAATCCCAGCACTCAGGGGCAGAGGCAAGTGGATCTCTTGAGTTCAAGGCCAGTCTGGACTAAAGAGAAAGTTCCAGGACAGGTTCCAAAGCTACATAGAGAAACCCTGTCTAGAAAAACAAACGAACAAAAAGTTATTTTCCAAGCCAGGAAGTGGTGGCGCACACCTTTAATCCCAGCACTTGGGAGGCAGAGGCAGGTGGATCTCAGTGAGTTCAAGGCCAGCCTGGTTCACAAAGTGAGACCCAGGACAGCCAAGACTGTTGTTACACAGAGAAACCCTGTCTCAAAAAATAAAGAACAAAGTTATTTTCCAAACTCTTAGCATTTTCAAATAGAACTGATCCCTTGCTACCTCTCCTGCGTATTCCACTACTAAACATTTCAGAGACAGTCGTATGAACTAGTGTGCCTAATAAACGTCAGTTCTCATCCTCGGAACCCACGGTGACTGCACTGCACTCTCACCAAGCCCTGGCTTCCTCACCGTACCTCTAGGATCTATACAGGTACTTTTCAAGTTTCAAAGCCAAATTCCTAAGTAGTCCAATAGAAACAAAAGTTCACTTAGCAAATCCATTTTTAGAATGCCTACTTCTTTTCTTTCTCATGACGTAGCCACAGCCGGCACTGAACTTATATGTAGCTCAGAGAGGCCTGGAATTCAGAAATCCACCTGCCCCTGCCTCCTGGGTACAAGGAATAAAGTTGTATCCAGCCTAAAGTGCCTATTTCTTTCTTTTTTTTTAAACTGGAAATATCTTTTTCATACAATATATTCTGATTATGGCTTCCCCTCCCTCTACTCTCCCAGTTCTTCCCCACCTCCCCTCCATCTGGATCCACCCCCTTTCTGTTTCATGTTCGACACATGAATCAGGCATCTGTTAAGACGGAAGATAAAAACAAAAACAAAACAAACTGAATTAGGACCAAAAAACCAGAAAGAGCCCAAGGGAAAAAAAAATGCCTATTTCTTAAATCACATAAAAACCGTGCACTAGTCGGGTGGGACGGTACACATGGGCAATCTAAATGCTCAGGAAGCTGAGGCAGGTGCATTGCAGTGAGTTCAAGGACAGCCTGAGTTGTCAAAACTTGCTACCCTCAAAAGGCCTAACAGCATTAGGGTAACGTCTTTGAAGAAACAGAAATACAATTAACTTTAAGGTACACTCAAATTCTGACTCATTGATCTCACCTTAAAACCTCATAAAAACCACAATATAATTTATATCACAATGTTTATAAACTTTACTCACCAGTCCCTATTCTTAGGGCTGACATTATCATTGATAAGCATTTTCAAAAAGTATTCTTGGTTTAAATTAAAATCCCATAAATATAATGCATTTACAAATTATAAAAAGATAAGATACTTTAAAAAAACATACCTTCTGATTTTCTTCTTTAAAAACTCTCTCCTCCCCTGCTAAACGGGTATGCTTCCTCAGAGCACTTGGAGAGATGTCAATCCTCCTTAGTATAAAAGAAAATGTATTTTAAGTTTTAAAATTTACTTTCTGATTCAAAAGGAACAGTTCTACCCATTGTTGGAGGGTACTAGACAATTATGCCTCTCCTAGAGAAAGCAATTTGTCACTTTAAGTCTATTGATTTAATTCCTAAAACAAAAAATTAAATTTATATATATTAAAAATTAATGAAAAACTAGATATGGTGGTAAATGCCTCTAATCCACAGGTTGAGACAAAAAAGATTCTTTTGAGTTTGAGGCCCACATACATCACATGAGTATGTGGCCAGGCAAAGCTACACAGCAAAATCCTGCCTCAAACACAAAACAAACCAATTAAAATGTAGATTTTTATATATAAATGATAGCAGGCCTTTTAAGCATTGTTATATTTAAACCACAAAAAAAGGAAAAATATTCTGATTATTTTAAATAATCATGCAATTATAACACATTAGTATATTCAATATTAATATTGCTATTAACATTCTAATAAATTACTGGTTTCTAAGAGTTCTTATAATTTCATGTATTTGGTTCAATTTTTTTGTGATTCTGAACCTTTCTGTTTTAAACTCTTATTAGTTAAAAACTTCTCAATGCTTCTTTAGCAGCCATCAGCCACCAAAATACTTCAGCAACTGAGCAGCAGCAAGTTAGAGACTTTTTTACCACTATCCTGTAAAGTAATCTGTAGATGAAATACTGATGTCTAACATGACTAACTTGTTCCCAATGCAACAAAGTGCCAGAACCCATACTGAACACAACTGGCAGACAATAATATTCATGCTTTTCATTATAAACTCTTCTGCTTCTCAATTTTTACCTCACACAGACTCAGCAAATTCGAGGGTTCCTTTAGGCATTCACTCCCCAGCCCCGGGCCCCCAACCTACAGCTGTTTCAACCCTCTAGTGATTTATGCAGGTTCGTACTGGACACACCTGTGGATCTCAGGACTCTTCTGCCGGCTACCATGCTCTTCAGTAGCTTTCTGGTATGAAGTGAACCGCTCGTTTAGGGTCACTGCAGGTGACTTGAAGTATTGCTCTGTTGATTTAGGAGAAACACTGCCGAATTAGGAATCTTAATTTTAAGAAGGGATTTTCATTTGTGATAGAAGGGCATGGAGCAGGTGAAAGAAAATAAAAATACTCAAGAAAGCTAGCAGAAGAGAATCAAGTGTTTAAAATAAAAACTCCTGCTCTTTGTTACTTCCTTTGTACCTCAACACATGATTTCAAAGGTCCTCACAGGTCCCTGTCAATACTAAATACAACCCCAAGACAATTAATAGATTAATCAAGACTTTAACTCCATGCTGATAAACTATTTCCTCAAACAGAACAAAAAACCATAATAGGTGGTATGTCCTTAAACCTGCCAATTAAACAAAGTTGTCTCTTCAACTAATCATTTGCAGAAAGCAAAAATAAAAGAAAACAGTATCAATAGTTTGAGTAAACTAGTAAAATTATTTTAACTATGATGACGTATCAACAGAAATGGCTTTACAAAAAAAGTGAATATTGCCATTCAATTGGGAAAAAAACTTTGAAATTGATTTACATTCACTAATTCCTCCAAAAAAAAATCTGGCATCTTGGCAAACCTGACAACACATAGGATACTGTATCTTTCTTTAAGCAATTTTTAAATGAGTAATAACAATACTGATTAGTTTCTACACCAGTTGAAGATACACTGTAAATGTAAAAGAGAGACATATAGAGTCATGAACTATGAAATGTTACATTATGAAGCAAGCTATCTGCTTAACAGGTCAACATACATCTGTGTCAACTTACCGCCCAATATCCAGCACATGTCTCATAACCAATCATTACAACTTGAAACGGCCACTACAAGGGTAGTGCCTCAATCATAATTCCATGAAACCCAGGAATTTGAGCTAGCAACTCAGTTTTTATGCCATTTTTGCCAGGAAGACAGAAGATTCAACTTTGCCTGTATCTTTCAACAGCTATTTTACTTTGAAACATGGATTTTGCCATTTCAAAACATATTCCAGGACCTAGTTACAATGAAAAAGAAAACATCACTGGGCATTTTCAGCTCTATATAAAGTAAGAGCTGTTCAGATCGGTTGCACAACACCAATTATGAAACATAACTACAGATCCTCTAAAAAAAAGAAAAGGAAAAAGGAAAAAAATGTATCAAAATCTGATCTCAAAATTCAACAAAGTGTGGAGACAGGTCAAAAAAAATGTTGAAAAAAAGAAAAAATGTTAATGCTTCCTAATTTTATGTGCCACAATACTATAGTCATAAAGGTCATACTATGGTTCACAAGCTTATCTACAGCCGAACAGCAAGATTCTCTTGTTACCATGCTGACTATAGCCAAAAAGAAGTCATTAACTATTACTCAATATAAGGAATGTGAGTGACGAATTTCAGCTATTGTGAGTTGTTCATGCGACCAACTTTACAAAAAAAGAGAGAGAGAGAGAGAGCAAGACCAACAGCCATCAAGTTTCCTGGAAAAGAACCTGCTAAACACAAAATAACCAAAGCAAAACTTACCTAATTGACCCTACACAAAATTGTACCCTAACACCTTTGAAATTATTAGTAGCTTTTAAACTAAAACTACATATTGGTGAAAATATGAATTCATGACTTCAGCTACAACGAACCCTTTTATTTTTTTAAAACCTAAAGAAATATCTAATTACTCTATCTAATTCGCCATTACTCATATAATCACTAACACAGTTGTAAATTTCTTAAGCTTTTACTGCTTTAAGAATTCTTGACTATTTTAAATAATAAACCAAGAGAACTGAAGTATTAAATTAAGTAGCACAAATTCAGCAACTATTTTTCCAATGCCTCAGATTTCTATAAACTGATTACAAATTCTCGGGAAAATAATAGTAACAATACTGCCTAAAGTTGTTATAAACTTATGCATTATGTGTCACCAAGTCATAGGCATACAATGACAGTTCATCTTTAAACAGTCTTAGTCTTCACTTGATATGCAGTATGACATATTTAAATTTTCAGCATTAAACAAACCTGTATTCTACTTTGACATGATACAGATTATTGTGTTTTAACTTCAGCCATTTGATCATCTTATATTCATTAGTCTCAATGCTAACAACACTGGTATCTGCTCTACAAAGTATTTCCCAAACATTTAATATTTAATAGTACTGATATATCATACCTGCTAGCTCAATTAACACAGCTATTATTCAACTTAACTCTTTATTTTGCATGCAAGAAAAGTTCACTTCATGAACCTAAATATATTAAGCATACCTTTAACATGATGAACCAAGGATACAATGTGTTGTATAAATGACTCTGAAGTGCTTTTGCTGGCCTGAGGCAACTTAATGTGGTCAAAGATGGAT